GGAAAGAGGGGTCCCCTTCTTGGACACCTTGGTCTCTATAGCTACTACCAGCACAGGGGAGGCGACACTAGAGACAGAATTGTATCTGAAACCGACTAACTCGGGGAATGTTCTTCATGCAGATTTAGCACACCCCCAAGCCACAAAGCACAACATGATCAGAAATATGTTTCACAGGGCCTTGAACAATTCGTCAAACCAGAGTAAGGAAGATGCCAGCGTGGAAAAGATTCGTTCTTTATTGTTGGGGAACGGGTACTCGCCCAAATTGTTAAAAAGGCTGATCCGGGAGGTGAGGTTGAGCAGAGCTAAGAAAAACAAGAACGTTAACCCGCGCCCTGGTGGGGTCTGTTTATAACGCGACCTGGTGGGGGGGGGGGGGCTATTTTTTGCCCCCCCTCGTATCTCCGAAACTACTGGACGGATCCGAAAAATTCAAACGGCGTTCGAAAGGCCTGTCAAATTTGTTGAGGGAAACCAAATTTTATTGACCTCGGGGTCACCGATGACGTCACAGGTCAGGTCAAAGATGAAATGTTTCACCGTTCACGGGTCTTCTAGGGAATGCGCTATAACACCGAGGAAAACGCATTTTGTCGGGAATCAGCGATAGGGCGTCAGTTGCCTAGTAGATATGTTGCTGTTAGAGGTCACTGGTCATACCAGGTCAGGTCACAGGTCAGGTCACCAAAGGTCACCAAGGGTCACCACATGAACCCAACTTTACTAAGGTTATGCGATGCATGTTTTATGGCCAGTTTTTCATTTCCAACTCAATGGTGTTGGTTATAAGACCATCAGGTACGGTTTAGGTTACTTTCTGGTGGAGGTCAGGTCAAGGTCAGGTCAAAAAAGGTCAAATTTCAAAGTTGATATTTTTGCATAAAATGGGTATTGATTCGATGCAGCTCGTCACGGGGAGTCTAATGGTGGTCTTTGTTTTGCGCTACGAGGTCTAGAATTGCTGAAAATCGAGTTTGAAAATTTGACGTCATCAATTTTGAACAGTTTTTTCGCTATAACTTGGCCAAAAAAAGAGGTATCGATCTCAAATTTGGTATGTAGATAGAAGGCGGTAAGGACTATCACATATATTCCGGTTTTTTCGAAATTCAAAAAACTTTTTGGATTTTTTGGCTATTATATTCAAAAAATCTATTTTTTGATTTTTTGGGGTCAAAATCCAAAAATTTCAAAAATCCGAGATAGCAGTTTTGTAGCCCTGTCCATTCTACAGCTTTTATGTCTGTATCATTTTTCTGTATTTGCAAAGCTATAGGCCTGACAGCTCTTCCCGCGAAACCCTTTTTTGGGTCGAAAACGGCAGAACATGACGTCACTCTGACGTCATTACCGGCCAACCTATCATAGCCTTTGGAAAAATTTTTGGTCACAATGTGTAAAATTGATGTCCGGGATTGTACTGAAAGTTTGGTGACGATCGGCGCAGTGGTTCTGGAGATATATCGAAAAGTCTGGAGGGGGGGCAAAAAATAGCCCCCCCCCACCAGGGCGCGGGTTAACAAAAGTAAAGTGGGATCTGATGGATTTTTGACTTTGCCGTACTTTGATGAGAACTTGCTACACAAAGTAAAGTATGTGGTGAAGAGATCGGGACTTAACGTCAGGCTTGCGTGGAAGAATGAAAACAAACTCAGAAAAAGTTTAGTTCGCTCAGCTTTTACACAGCCGCTCTGTCCAGGCAGAAACCGCTGCAACATCTGTAAGAGTGGTTTCGAAGGACAGTGTACTGTAAAAAATGTTGTGTACTCGCTACAATGCAAGGCATGTATGGAAAATGGTGACATGACGGAGTATGTGGGGGAAACCAAGAGACCCATACGGTTGAGGTTCAATGAGCATTACCGGGATATCGCCAACAGAAAGGAGGACACGCCTATGGGTGATCACTTTACAGAGTGCCATCCTGGCATTGCCTCACTCCATCCCCCATCGAGGCTAGAATTCTGTATAGGGCCAAAGATCACCCAGATCGAAAGATTGCCTAGTCGATCTTTATCAGGAATCGAAAGCCTGTCCTCAATTCGAACGTGACCTCATGGCCGATCATGTGATGAGCCACATTTGTGACACTCATGAAGATATATATAATGAATATGTATGCGCGTACTGATGAGCTAATAGGTGTTTGTGTGTGTGTTTTTGTTCGCATTGTGATTTTGTGATGTTTTACCATGGGGTGTGACATGAATGTTAAAAGAATATTAGCGTTGGCTATTTGACCTTAGGCTATCGTGATATTAATATCAGTAGAGATAGGCAGGTTGATTGCGAATGTTTTTTTTTAATAAGCTTTTAACCCGCGCGGGGCTGGGGGGGGGAAAAAATTTTTTACCCCCCTCGGGAATTTTAGCACTATCTCAAAAACAGCGGCGCGCAGCGCCGCCAAACTTTCAGTACCTTTTCTTACATCAATTTGACACGTTCCCCGAAAATTTGAGCGAAATCCGTCGGAAATTTTTGAGAAATTGACGTTTTAGTGACGTCATGTTCGCCATTTTCGCCTCAAAAACGGCAAAAGTTCAAACGCCGCTAACATCTTCATTTTTAAGGGAATCAAGACGTAACAAAAAAGGATATACGTAATTCTACTTTGTCTATCAAATGGCTATCTCGGTTTTTTGAAAATTTTGGATTTTGGCCCAAATTTTTCCAAAAAACTGACTTTTTTTGGGAAAATGGCTATAAAATCCAAAATTTTGAGTGTATCGAAAAAACCGGAATATATGTCAGAGAAGTGGTCTATGTGTACCTACATACCAAGTTTTAGAAGAATCGGTTAAAAAATGTGGGAGTTATTCAAAATTGTATGACGTCACGACACACAAAAAAACACGTCACGACACACCGACCGGTCGGCGGACGGGGGCGGCGGGCGCGCCGGAGCTCGGAGCCGCTCGGCGTCTCCTGGGGCTCGGCCCTCGACCGCGCCCCGCCCTGCCACGGCTGGCGGCCTGGAGTCGCCCTTGCGGGTGACGTCAGAGGTCGCTTCGCCTCCTCTACCCGCTCGGTCAGCTGGGGAGAGCGGCCAGCGAGAGGTAACGGGGAGAGGGTACCAGGTGCTGCCATCTGTCGAGCAGCGCGAGGGCTATGAGGGATCACTGTCGGCGGGGAGCGGCTCTGGCAGCGGGGTGGGTCATCCTGGGATGTCAGTCGTCGGGGGGAGGGCGGGAGGGGTGGAGAGAGGGGCAGAGGGGGGCTCCCGCAAGGCGGGTGCTGGGGTGCGGGGTACTCGTGTCTGGGGCGATCCCAGCCCCAGTGTAAAGGGCGCGGACAGGGTGGGTGAGCGTTCTGGGTATAAGGACATCAGAGAGTACTTCTAGGCGGTTAACTTAGCATGGTTTTCGAGGTGTTTTTTAGTTTGTTCTATTGTACTGTCTGTAACCGCGGCTGTTGTCGCTTTGTTTCGCCAGCAAGGAACAGTTGCAGTCCACAATTAATCTGGATAATATGTGGGCAATGCGTTTTGTGGTGGTACGAACAAGGCCCATTGGGTTTGCTCTGTTATTTCTGTATAATAGTACACTTGTCATGTCGTTCGTCTGCCGTTGTATACCGTCTGCCGGTAGGCGTCGGTACGACTCGGGAGTCTGACCTCGGAAGGCGCTTTCCTGACGGCGTTGGCGACGGGCTCGGCGCTGCGTGCGGCGGCGGCGCCATCCGGGGCGTGCCTGCGAGTTCTGTGGCGGGATCGGCTGCTGCTGGGCTGGCGGCGGAGGTGGTGGCGCTCTGCTCAGTGCGTCACCTCTCCTGCGACCCGAGCTGGCTGCCGAGGTTCCTGTTGGTGGCCCCGGCGTCTGGGAACGCCTCGACTGCATTCCTTTCAGATTTTCCTATTTTCCTGTCCCTTTCAAGTTCTAGCCCATGCCCTTCCCTTCTGATCAGTACCACTTTACCTTATTCACCACAAAATCTCATCCAACTCTTAGTCAAAGGTAAGCAATGGCTGAACTTAAAATAATGACTTATAATTGTAGGGGTCTCGGGACCCAGGAGAAAAGAAGAGACGTTGTCAACTTTCTTAAGAATCTCGATTTTGATATTTATTTGTTACAAGATACGCATCTTACTGAAAGAACTGCGCAATTTTTTGACACTATTTGGCGTGGAAAATGCTATCACTCCTTTGGTACGTACAACAGTCGAGGGGTGTCAATTTTGTTCAAACCGAAAGTACAGCATAGTATAATTCATGAAGAACGTTGCCAAGACGGCAATTTTCTCATTCTTGCTTGCCACATATTCTTGAATACATACACAATCGCATCAATATACGGACCAAACGATGATTGTCCAACCTTTTTCGATGAGCTGTACACGAACCTAGAAGAACTTACAACGAATAATATTATACTTGGTGGAGACTTTAACTTTGTCACAGATCGCTTACGCGATTCAAATTACATTAGACACAATAAACCTGGTACAAGAAATGCTTTTTCGAAAATCGTTGAACAATACGATTTAATAGACACATGGAGAGAAATAAATCCGCATGGGGAAGGATACACTTGGACAAGGCAGAATCCTCTAAAATATGGCCGACTAGATCGGATATACATTCAGGATCACTTAATCAATAATATAGTATCAGTTACGCACCACCCTGGGTATAGATCTGATCACAGTATTGTATCTCTGGGCATCAGAGAGCCACATATGAAAAAAGGTCCCGGACTATGGAAATTTAATGCTTCTTTACTTGAAGATAAATCATATAATGAATTGGTGAAGGATACAATAATGAATATTGTGAAACAATATGCAGCGCCAATTTATACCGATGAATACCTATCTAATCCGAAGAACTTTGAAAATATTTGTTTCACTATCAGTTCTGAGGCCATTATTATAAAATAAATTCCGAGCCGGCTGCGAATTTAATTCCCGATTCTGAGCCATTGGTTATTATAAAAATGCAGCCTGAAAAAATCGAGCGGTAAAAAGAAGACAAAGTCACGTGCCGGTGGACGCAAAATTCCGAGCTACTGATTATTATAAAAATGACTTTTTTACAATTCAAGGCGCATAAACAGCGCCACAATTGCACAAAACTGCGAATTTTCAGCCAAAAATTGCAGTCGGGTACCAGCGTCATAAAATTTTGCAAAGCTAGTCTTAAGACGATAATTTCACTCGTAGCTTATCGAATATTTCATAATATGTACATTCCATGCATTTTTAACGCTTCTAGCGATAAGTTTAAAGCTATTTGTGAGCCCTGGGACATAAAACAGCTTATCTAGCAGGAAGAGAAGTAAGCGGCATTCATTCTCGTCATAATGAAGAAGCATCCAAACGTTCTCATGGGTGCAGCATTGGCGTGCTTAGAATTGTGACCATAATGTGAGTATATCAACTGCCTCAGCACGCTGTAACATATTTAAATTATGTATTACTTCTGATTTTGTTCAGCTTGTAAATGTAATTGATATTTATGACATCAGTTAACATGGTCTAGAAAACGAACCAGGAAGAAAGGGACTAGTTTTCTTTCGCGAATATACAGGAGAGTTTCCCTTATTTTTACGATTCGCGTGAAATATGACTTGGTAAATAAAGCTGCATTTATTTATTTATTTATTTATTTATTTATTTGATACGTACTCCTTATAAGATCAATAATGATCAATACTACTAGAACTGCATAGAAAATGGAACATAAGACTGTTTTCGACCCGCACCTAACTAGGCCATTCTCCATAAAGCGACCGAATAGGAATACTGTAAGGTAAACCCTGTAAAGGTACTGTAAAGGTATACCCAGGTGCAGTAAAGTTTTCCAGCAGGTTAAGCGTATAGTGAAGGTCGGGTCAGGGTCATGTCAAAATGACCAAATTAAAATGCGATGAATGTCAACAAAACTGTGTGTTTCAGATGCAGTTCGAGCTGAGGAATCCATGCAATTAGTGGAACGTTTAGAAGTTACAAAAAATTGTAGGCAAGTCTTCGAAGGTGCTGAAATTTCAGAAGGCGGTGCCTGTCGAATTCTGGCGGACTCTGAGGACAAACTGAGGACAATGCAGAGCACCCAAGATCTCACACCCTAGATTATATCTGAGAGAAATTTAAGCCAGAAAATCAATGTCAACAAGTCAAGGACGTGGCCAGAAAATGTGATGATGACGATGCGGTGCGCCTCCCGCCGGTTGCGGCCGGCAACATCTCGCGCCGCTTGGTAAACACAGCGCCAGGCATCTCTGCGCCAGACCTGTAGAAATGGAAATTGAACGCATGAACTCGTGTCAAAAAGCGAGATTATGTGTCCAACTGGTCACTGGCAAACGCCGGCATGACCACATATCCAGCTGATTTAGAACAGTTATGGTGGTGCGACGCGCAACAGTTGTTTACTTTTCACATGGTGTGGAATGTGGATGTTGGAACGTGTCCTTGTTAATTACCAGTCCGAGAGCATATTTATAACTCAGCACCTTAGCAGCTAAAGCCAGGCAGCAACATGACCATTAGGCCCGTCAGGCTCGCTAGTATACCCTTCCTATAAGACAAACCGAGTCCGCGGCAGAATCAGGCTGCGCTACCACGGTGTCACGATGTTCAGTGCAGAGTCAATGTCCGATGCCTGGTGTCCCTGGATTTCGCTTGGCCGTCAACCAGAAGTCAAAACGGTAAAGCACAATGGAACATGGAGTGGGTGTGCAAATGTAAACAGGAAGGGCATTTGGGACAAATTTCCGGCATTTAGGGCAAATGCCCGTATACAGCGCCTAAAATCGACGATTTTTTCTAGAATAGAAATAAATCGAAAAAATTATATGAAAAAAATATTTGCTTTAGCTAGACAGCTGTGCGTAAGGAATTCAAATCAGATTAGTTGGGCGTATGCCCTCCACCGCTTCCGAGACTTTCTGGATCCGCCTGTGGTTATCGTCTTTATTGGTATTCGCGCAATACTAGACGTGAATATGGTCGAAAACCCGACATGTTATGCGGATCTCTTTCAAATACACAAAATGTCAACGATTGTAATGCATGCTGCTGAAAGATTTCTCGTGCTACTACTTTTTGTTCGAAATATATATCCCAATGAAATCTGGCTGTCCTTTTGCTTAATCCCAAAAACTGATGGTTGAAATGCAATTTTCCTAACCGAAGCATGTCTTCTTTTAGAACTAAAGCTTTGCTATTTTTAATAAATTGAGCGATTAACTTGTTCGCACGATTCATTCATAAATACATCTTTAAATTACTCAATCCCAAGCATGAACAATGCTGAACATTTTGAACCAGGCATAACACAGTTGCTCTGATAACCCAAGAACTTTTGTCATCAATTTACCTTTAAATGTGACGTGAGTTTTCTTACAAAAGACACGGAAAACGTCTTCAAATATGATTTTTTCATAAGATTAAGCATAAATGTATACGAACGATTTTAAAAATCGGAATTATAATGCACATAATCACATAACATGGAATATATAAAGCACTTGAAGTATGACATCATACATTTTTGGCTCATTTTTCACAGCCAAATAATGAGCCGGAAGATGCGTAAAAATGAAGCACGCGTGAGTTTTATAATAATGAGAAAAGCAGCCGGCTGCTTTATTCGGCTCGATTTTTATTTGCAGCCAGTGTCTCGATTTTATTTTATAATAATGGCCTCTGGTCTGTTTTATGAAACCTTGCTGATGATGATCCGAGGTGAAACAGTGAGATTCTCTAAGCAAAAGGCACGAAAAAAGAGAGCGGAAGAAAGCAGTCTGCTAGTTCAAATAAACCAACTGAATGAATCTTTTAATATATGCAGAACACAAGAAAACCTAAAACGGTTAGATGAAGCTAAAAATAAATTAGAAGAAATAAGAGCTCCAAGAATTCAAGGATTAATTACTAGGTCCAGAGTCCAATGGTTTGAGGAAGGGGAGAAGTGTTCAAAATATTTTCTTTCTTTAGAAAAGAGAAATGCCGTGCGAAATTCAATTCAGAGTATGAACGACGGCGAACAGCTTATTACTAATAAAGAAGAAATACTGCAATATGTTTCTAAACAGTTGGAAAAGAAGTACTTAGAGAACAATTCTGAATGTCATAGAAAAGAATATCTTGAAAATAATATTAGGCGAAAACTATCAAATGAGCAAAGAAATCGCTTAGAGGCACCTCTGTCGTTTCAGGAATTACAAACAGCGCTAGCAAGTATGAAAAAAGGCAGATCTCCTGGAAGTAATGGATTCACTTCGGACTTCTTCAGACATTTTTGGGAATTTATCGGCATATTCCTATTTCGGGCTTTCAAAGACAGCCTAGAAAATAACAATTCTATTATATCCCACAGGGAGAGTATTGTCACTCTTATACCAAAACAGGGAAAGCCAAAAGATTCGATTAAAGGCTGGAGGCCAATTTCTTTACTAAACGTTGATTTTAAAATTATCTCAGCGGCCATTGCAAACAGATTAAAAACTGTGATGAATGATTTGATAACACCCACCCAAACTGCGTACATAAAAGGACGGTACATTGGCGAGAATACCCGGCTAATGTATGATGTGATAGAACATATAAATAGCAAATCATCTTCCGGTTTAATAATGGCTGTGGATTTTGAGGCCGCGTTCGACACTGTTTCTTGGGGGTTCTTATCAGAAGCTCTACATTGCTATAACTTTGGGCCTTATTATACACACATGATCAACACTTTGTACCTCAATACCAACAACTTTTCGCGAATAATGTTGGATGGTTTTCTGGGCCCTAAAATCAAAATGGAAAGAGGAATCAGACAGGGGGATCCCATATCGGGATATCTATTTAATTTGGTGATGGAGCCGCTAACAAATCAAATACTTCAGGCGAATGATATTAAAGGCATACCGATGACAACTGAATCGGAAGTAAGGTTATCGCAGTATGCGGATGATATGATATTATTTTCATGTGTGGAACCTAATTCAATTAAAGCGGCACTTAATGAATTGGAAATATTTCACAAAGTATCAGGTCTTCGCATAAATATTGATAAGACGAAATGTCTTCAAGTAGGAAAGCAAATTGATAATTCATTTCTCAGTAGCAGCGGGGTGCAAGTAGTGAGAGAACTTAAAGTACTAGGGGTACTATTTAGCAACTCAAACACAAATATCGTAGAAAAAAACCTCACCGAAGTGCTTCCCAAAGTAAAACAAGAAATAGCACAATGGAAACGACGCCACCTCACTCTAATAGGGAAAATAACCGTTGTTAAATCAATGGTGATTTCAAAATTAGTACACATTCTATCAGCGCTACCAAATCCAAGCAAAAACGAAATAAGAGATATAAATAGCATCATTTTTAAATACATATGGAATGATGGCCCAGATAAAATAAAAAGGAAAAGGCTGGTACAGGACTATGGTCTAGGCGGATTGAAAATGATTGATGGTATGTCCTTTATTAAAGGCTTGAAAATTAGTTGGTTGAAAAGGTTATATTGGTGTAGCTCAAATGTAGCGTGGGCGAATCATATCAAAGACGGACTTCCACCAATCTGCGACTTAGTATGCTACGGAGCAGCCAAGCTGAGGGACATCGCTAAAAATAAGATGCAAAACAAATTTTGGAGCGACGTTTTGAATGCTTGGGCAGATTTCTGTTCGGACTTTAGAGCAATGCCGGAACACATATTAACAGATAAGTTATGGTTTTCCGATCACACCAAATTTAAAACGAGCATAGTCAAGGATTGGAATGAAAGTGGATTGCGATTCATTGCTGATTTATACTGTAATAACAGTGGAACACTTGTAAACAAAGAAACTCTAAATAATTCTTTCAACATAAAAATGTCGTTTTTGTGTCACGCGTCACTGACCAAAAGCATACCACATCATAACGATAACGCTGCAGCCGCTCGCAGTATCACACACCCCATACTCCCATACAAAATAGCGTTACTGGCAAGGCAACTCAATACATCACGATTAGCCTACAGAGAATTTGTATTTGCGCTACGCGAACCCGAAGGAGATACATTTAAGCAGTCACACATAAAATATAAATGGAATAGAGATATACGATGCATGCATGAAGGTACACTTTATGACATCCGGCAATCTACATGTAATACTTACTTACAGACACTGCATTATCGCATAGTGAACAGAATAATATCGACAAACACTTTTTTATTTCGCATTGGAAAGTCTGAAAACCCTTTGTGTACTTTTTGTAACGTAGAGAGTGAAACACTACACCATATCTTGTGGAGATGTGAAATAGTGAAAAAAATTTTGAAAGAAATAATAAGATATCTTCAGGAAAAACATAATCTGATTTTAAGATTGACAGTAGAAAATTGGATATTCCCAAGATTAGCGGATGAAGACAAGCTTAATATATTGATAATAACAATTGCAAAACTAGTAATATTCAGAGCAAGACATAAAAAACATACTCCAAGTAAACAAGAATTTCACTCTTTGCTTAAAATGGAAGCCGAAAAAGAGTATAAAAGTGCTGTAAAACGGCACTCTTTTCAGAGGTTTGAGTCGAAGTGGGGCACTGTCGCGAACATTGTTTCAGGGGCAGGGCCCTAAAACTAACGGCATATTCTTCCCGGAACCTTCTCCCATCCTACCCACAAGTCTACATGCATGCGAGACATCCCGGTCGTCGTGGGCCTCCGGCTGGGGCCCGGCGGCTGGCGTGGCGTTGCGACTGTCACCCGGTAGCTTCTCGGTCCTGCCCGCTCGTCGTGGGGGTGCCCGGTGGTGCTGCCGCCCGCTCCGCCGGCAGTGCCTTCGCTCCTTTTTTTTTCTTCGTATTCCTCCTTTTTTCTTCTTTATCTTTTCTACCTTTTCCCTTGTATGCATTCCTTTATATAATTAATTTACTTTTGTGTGCGTGCTTAGTGCTTTATTAATTTACTTTTGTATGCGCTTGATGTTATTTGTCTGCATTGTTCATGTATTTGTAAGATCAGTATCTTTGCATTGTCGCGACCGTGGTGCACCCACGATCTGGTGCACGTTGCTGTGTGTTTGGGACGAGGACGAGCGGCGTGCTCACCCTAGCCGTGGATACTGCTCTCTGGCTCCGCGGCGGCTGAGCTTCTGTGGGTCGCCGCTAGGGTCCGCTGCCAGTGGCGCTCCCTGCTTCAATCATATGCGCGAGCGAATCCGCTTGGTCTGTACCGCTAGTGATTCTGATCGGGGTGAAATACACAGTGATTTTTCTAAAAAAAAAAAAAAAAAAAAAAAGAGACAGAATTGTATCTGAAACCGACTAACTCGGGGATTGTTCTTCATGCAGATTTAGCACACCCCCAAGCCACAAAGCACAACATGATCAGAAATATGTTTCACAGGGCCTTGAACAATTCGTCAAACCAGAGTAAGGAAGATGCCAGCGTGGAAAAGATTCGTTCTTTATTGTTGGGGAACGGGTACTCGCCCAAATTGTTAAAAAGGCTGATCCGGGAGGTGAGGTTGAGCAGAGCTAAGAAAAACAAGAACGTTAACAAAAGTAAAGTGGGATCTGATGGATTTTTGACTTTGCCGTACTTTGATGAGAACTTGCTACACAAAGTAAAGTATGTGGTGAAGAGATCGGGACTTAACGTTGTGACATGCCTTCGCCAATCGATGCCGATCGATTCGCTCCGCTGCTCCCTATAAAAGCAGCAGCGACGCGGACGCGGGGGCACTACGCATTCGTTCACTCACGCTGGAGGACCGTCAGTCATTCGCGGTGTGTGATCGTTCGGTGTGAGAATCGCTGTCGATACCGGGCTGACTGGTCGGCTTCTTGACCCCCCCTGCGACCGACAACTATCATGTAAGTCCGGCAGCGCGTCGCCGGTTATTCGGCGGCATTAGATTCTCCAGCCTATCGAATGCTTTATTTTTGGCCCACTAACATAAAATCTGAATCTGTCAATTGATTCAAATATCTCGGTAAATGGTCACTTACTCGTGGAGTTCAGACTTCTACATCATTTTTGTATGCGTACTGTTAACGTCGTCATAAAGAGTTGTGCAAATCTCGTACCCACTATAACACCTTCGCTTGCTCTGAAGTTAGTTTATGTCTGTGTGCATTCACGT